ACTGGCGGTGTAAAACTTGAGCACGTTGAAGTTGATAGGCAAAAATAAGATGTTCCTGCTGATTTGCTGCTTTTTATTTTTACCAGTTTTTGTCTAAAACTGTTTCTTTGACAACGTGTGCTAAACTTACTGTCACTAATTCTGTGGAGAGTCGAGCAGCTTTCTTGATTACCTTTGCATGGTACACCACTTCAAAGAATTGTATTAGTTTCTGTGTTATTTTCCTTTCATACTTTAATCACCTGTCAACACTAAACAAACTATCTATCAGGCTTCCATGCTCCAAAAGCTCCATGGAATATGTTCCATGCTTAAAAACTGAAGGGAAAAGTAGGAAGATGACCATGCCTATTTCTTAGGTGAGAATCTGAGACTTTTTCTCTTCATGCAACAGAAATCTGTTGAACATTAGAAATTGAATCCAAGCTGCTAAAACCACCATCTAATTACCAGCCAATCTTTCCTACCTATTTCCTACATGCAGTTGCTAGAATTTTGGTAAAAATGTGAATCTCTTATTTTTTTGCCGGTGACACAAAGGAGGGAAAAGATTGATGTAGCTGGCAGTCGAAGGGACTAGAATTTCTTTGCTTGCACTTGAGCTACACAAAATAGAGATAATGTGTTTCTGACTCAAGGCATTTTACCCAGTCTTTGCACTGGAGCAAATGATTACTGAAGGTATTTGACAACAAAGAAAGAAGAGCTGTCTGTAATTATATCAGATTGTGGTTTTGGAAGTATTTCATAGCAGAATGCCTGTAGAATTCAAGATGGAATTGATAACTACAGAAATTTTACAATTTAGTGAGAAATTGAATTTTAAGATGCACAAAATGAGTACTCCAAATTTTAAATATTTCTTCTGTAGGATTATCATCACAAAAGATAAGGGAAAATTATCTAAAAAAATGAACTGTGTTATCTTGAGCTCTCTTGCCTTTTTTCCCGGTGATTAATGATCGGACAGATGTACATCTTAGAAGGGGTAAACAGTGTACACTAGCATCATGAACAGTCACATTTTTGTTTCGTATTCAAAGGGCCTAACAAAAGGATTCAAGACAATGCTTTCAAGGCCTTTGACATGGTCCTCCACAACATCCTTCTCTCTAAATTGGACAGAGATGGATTTGATGGGTGGACTGTTCAGTGGATCAGCAATTAGATGGACAGTTGCATCCAGAGGGTAGTGGTCAGTGGCTCAATATCCAGATGGAGAGCCGTGACAAGTGATGGCCCTTGGGGGTCCATACCAGGACCAGTACAGGTCAATATCTTCATCAATGACATAGTAGGATCGAGTGCACCCTCAGCAAGTTTGCGGATGACACCAAGCTTAGTGGTGCGGTGACGCATCTGAGTGACAGGATGCCATCCAGAGGGACCTGGACAGGCTGGAGAAGTGGGCCCGTGAGTGTTGAACCTCATGAGGTTCAACAAGGCCCAAGTTGGCACCTGGTTTGGGGGAACCCCTGGTATCAGTACAGGCTAGGGGGTGAAAGGATGGAGAGCAGCCCTGCTGAGAAGGGCTTGGGGGTACTGGGGGGGTAAAAAGACAGACACGAGCTGACAATGTGCACTCGCAGCCCAAAAAGCCCCCCACACCCTGGGCTGCATCCCCAGCAGCGTGGCCAGCAGGGCAAGAGAGGGGATTCTGCCCCTCTGCTCTGCTCTGGGGAGACCCCACCTGGAGTATGGCATCCAGCTCTGGGGCCTTAGGACAGGAGAAACATGGACCTGTTGGACCAGGACCAGAGGAGTCCATGAAGATGCTGGGAGGGCTGGAGCCCCTCTGCTGTGAGGACAGGCTGAGAGAGTTGGGGTTGTTCAGCCTGGAGAAGAGAAGGCTCTGGGGAGACCTTATTGTGGTCTTTCAGTACTTAAAGGGGGCTAAAGGAAAGATGGGGACAACTTTTTAGCAGGACCTGTTGTGGTAGGACAAAGCTCAGTACTTAAAGGGGGCTAAAGGAAAGATGGGGACAACTTTTTAGCAGGACCTGTTGTGGTAGGACAAAGCATAATGGCTTTAAACTAAAAGAGGGGAGATTTAGACTAGATATAAGGAAGAATTTTTTTATAATGAGGTGTGGTGATAATCTGGAACAAGTTGCCCAGAGAGGTGATAGATGGAAGCATTCAAGGTCAGGTTGGACACGGCTCTGAGCAACCTGATCAAGTTGAAGATGTCCCTGTTCATTGCAGGAGGCTTGAACTTGATGACCTTTAAAGGCCCCTTCCAACCCAAACTATTCTATGATTCTATCATCTTCTGTATTGCTAGAAATTTGTACCTTTGTTGTGAAAGTATTATATATATAAATTGCTGGAAAGTAATGTGAATAGTATTGCTTCCTCCATTCCATCGGGATTGCACATCAAATGTTCTTTAAAAGCAAAGCCTTATTTTGGGCTATACAAAGCAGTATCATAAACTCAGAATATCTCAAGTTGGAAGGGGCCCTTAAGGATCATCGAGCCCAACTCCTTGCTCCTTGCAAACAACACTTGTTTTAAAAAAGTTCACATATGTAGTTGTTGATTGTATTTTTTTTTTTTTTATCTGAAGCTGCTCTGCATGTAAGAGTTTACCTGAGAGCGAAATTTTGTTCTAATTGAGGAGTCCCTTAAGTACTCTTCATTTACTTATGTCTCTTAAACCTAAAATTTTAGTTAAAATGTAGAACAATAGTATGATTTGTGTATAGGCATATTTGGAGGCTTTTTGTCTGTTCTTTTTAGCTGATCCATTGTTTTTAGAAGGATTTATCCCCCTGATGCCATGCACTGCAATTCCTTGCATATAGGAGCATTAATTCCTTTTAATGAAGTTCACTTTTGAGGGAGTAAAATACTGAACTCCAAACCAAACGCCAGACTGTGTTAAGACTAAATGATTACTGGCTCTTACACTATTAACTTTGTACAGCCTAAAAAGAGAATAATGAGGCTGTGAGTCAACAGAGGAAGTTCCACAGCTACGAATTCATCTACCCAGCTAATGCTTACACAGATTTTTACCGTGTGTCCCCATTGTAGAAGGCAGCAAATATCACTGAATGCATTGAATAGAGATGCAAGAACAAGTGTATAGATTTTAAAATGTGATGAAAATGGTCCGTAATCTATGCGGAAGGAGGAAGCTACACGATCCATAAAATCTCAGTATTGATTGTACAAATTGGACAGGTTAGGAACTAATTGCCTTGCTCAAGCAGGATGTTTAACATGGTTTTAATGTGAGCCTGAGAGTCAGTAACTCACAGTGGCAGAGGACGGCTGTATCATGACCACCCTAGCCTGGTAATTAAATGGCATACAGGTTAATTGCAGAGACAAGCAGGAGACTGGAGTTAAAGGACTGAAAGGAGTCAGTTGAATAGTGTTGTCCATCTGCAGAGGAGGAAAAGGAAAGTCATTATAAAAGGTGCTTTGTCAGTGTACAGTAATCACAGATTCAGTTTCCATTCAGTTTCCATTAAAGCCTTGTTTTAAGGTTGTAATAATATAAGAAGGTTAGAAGCTGAATGAATTACAGAAGGGTGGGTTTGGGGCCAGTAGAAATCATCATCAGATAATTCTGCAGATGATCCCAGTCCATACCTGAGATTTTGTTGTTGTTTTGGTTTAACCTGCAGCCACGGCAAATTACGCTTTCGAAGATGCAAAACTGATTGATTTAATGCGAGAGCCTAATGTATACGTTCAACACATCATATCACTTTGTCTCTGTGGATCAATTTTATCACGGCTCAAAGGTTTTGATCAGGATTTAGTAGGAAGAAGAGTAACCCACCTTAATGATTGTTCTTCATACGGTTTATAATCTTTATAGCTTACTGCTACATAGAACGCAGTTCAGCAGAGCACTCAGACATGTGCTTAAGTGCTGTGCTTAATGAGAATTATAAAACATCACTCAGCATCTGCACCTGAAAAAAATAACAACAGTAACTGTCATAAGAGATATAGCATTGTATATATTATCCTCTTCTTGAGGAAAGGGAAGCCACGCGCGGCAGATGCTATTCATGTTGCTGCATGAATTACTGGGCTCCTCTGATGGCAAAGGTGACTGTGAGGTCCTGGGCAGAACAGTAATGTGGTGTAACACAAGTGATGCAGGCTGTGAAGGAGAAGCTTTCCTGTGGAGATGTAGGCAGAAAAGAAGAATATTAAGGAGTTTTCATAGGCAATTTGCATACAATGTTTCAGTGTCCAGTAGGGTAAGGACACAAGGTTTGATTATGAAAACAATAATTCTGTGATGCTGTGCATGTTTCCATATTTTACTTTCTCCTTTGCCGTCCTGCTGTTGTTAAAGATATAACCAGAAGGTACTGATTTGAGTTTTAGAAGGGACCGAGGAGGAAATGGCTTTATTCCAGTGTCTGTATTCTGGATTCAAAACCAAAGTTGTTGGTATTTTTCTGTGCTCCATAACGTCCATAGCTGTTGAAAACCAAGCCTTTTGCTTGAATGCCACAAATGGATGATCAGGGGGATGGAGCACCTCTGCTACGAGGACAGGCTGAGGGAGCTGGGCTTGTTCAGCCTGGAGAAGAGGAGGCTCCGGGGAGACCTAATAGCGGCCTTCCAGTCCCTGAAGGGAGCCTACAGGAAGGCTGGGGAGAGCCTGTTTAGAAAGGCCTGCAGTGACAGGACGAGGGGCAATGGCTTCAAGCTGGAGGGGAACAGATTTAGGCTGGAGATTGGGAGAGGGTTCTTCACTGTGAGGGTGGTGGAGCACTGGAACAGGTTGCCCAGGGAGGTGGTTGAGGCCCCTTCCCTGGAGATATTCAAGGAGAGGCTCGACGAGGCCCTGGGCAACCTGGTCTAGTTGGGGGGGTCCCTGCTGACTGTGGGGAGGTCAGACTAGATGACCCTTGGAGCTCCCTTCCGGCCTGGGCAATTCTATGATTCTATGATTATGATTGTGCTGCTAAATTCACCTTTGTTGCTTTTGTTGCTGATTTTGTTTTGTTTTGTTTTGTTGGCAGGATTGTTTCCCGCGGTGCTGAACCTGGCTACGAACGCCCTCATCACAACCAACGCCACCTGTGGAGAAAAGGGCCGGGAAATGTACTGCAAACTGGTTGAACACGTACCTGGACAGCCTGCACGCAACCCCCAGTGCCGGATTTGCGATCAAAAGAGCAGGGTTCCACACCGTACGTCTGCCAGTTGCATTTTGTTCCTTTAAAAAAGACTTTTTTCCAAAGTTTGTAGATACTTAGCAAACAAAAAGTGTAGGTCGCTGGGCTGGTTACTGTGAAACGCCTTTCTCTTTCTTTTTAAGTTAGTTTACACATCTCTTCCTTCGGTATTTTAAAATCTCTATCTATTATGTTTACTTCTCAAACTGAACTTTCTAATTCAGATAGTTAGAAGTGGAGTACCTAAATTCAGATTTAGGAAAATTAAGTACTTACAGCTGTTATTGAATTCTCTTGATACCTACTAACCGGGACTGAAAAGCAGCTGACTTTAACCTGCATTACCTATGTGTGGAATTTGAACATTTGGGGCAATCTAAGCAACATCTGAAATTTCGGTTTAGCACCAACTCCAGTGTTATTTCATTGTATTCTGTTTTTTTTTTTTTTTCTTCTTCGTTTGATATTAATTCAGTTTCACTGTGTGAGCAAAAAGGAGATAAGATAATGGAACGCTGCTTGGTTTAATTGCTTAGTTTTTAATATTAAAATTGATCTTTGCTAACACTGCTTTCTTAAAGACTACCCGAAAGCAAAACCAGTTTTCAAGTATAAATTTGTTAACGTCTGCTTCAGAGATGCATATTCCTAATTGTTGGGAAGATGAGCACTAAGAAAATTTCTTATTGAAGTCATAGGAGTTTAATTTCATGTGACCTTGCAGTGGAAGACATGAATGGCATTAACATTGTTGGATTTTTGTGACTATATTGGTTCTGTAGATGGTGGAGGCTGCAGAGACACTTAAGACAGGTTCTAATGCAATAGAGAAACTGTAGGAAGAAGCACAGCTGCAGAAGCATAGAGACAATTCCTCTTTTTTTTTTTTTTCCAGCTGTTTCCTTCTGAAACCTAGCTCAGATGGATTTATGCCTCATGACAAAACACATTTAAGCATGTTCTTAAACCACAGAAAAAAAATAAAAATAGATGGCATGTAATCTACTTGTTAGTTCTAGACAGGATGAGCTATCTACGGCTGTAGCTTTCCAGATGGAGGCTTGTTTAGCTTTTCCTTAGAAAATTCCTTCTAGGGCCAGAGTTATTTTACTCATTACAAAGTCTTTTCCAAATCGCTGAGCTGCATCTTCCTCACAGAAAGTCATGTTAATTTTTCCTCACTTCAGGCAATACGGGGAATGGATTATTCCCTTTTTCTTGACAAAATTCTTTTATTTAATTGAGGGTTGATGGCGTTGCTGCTCTGTCTAGTTTCTACATTAAGCTTTACTTTCATTCTCCTCAATGGGTTGTGTTTCCTAGAGCTCTTAACAGTGCAAATTGGACTTCTCTGAATTCTCTCTGGAGATTTTAATCTTTTTTAGATTTACCTGAGCTCTCAACAGTACTGCTCAGAGATGCAGGTGTGCTTCAGAATGAACAGAATATGTTCCTGTCTCCATGTTTTATGTAGATATTCCCCCTTTTTAATAGTGTCACTAGTTGTCCATTATAAATCCCCACATGCTTTCCTGCTAAATGGCTGTGTATCCATTTCCTCCCCATCTTGTACTTGGGAAGCTAATTATAATTGCCCCAGTATAGACTACTCCGTTGGTCTGAACACAGTTGTAACCTATGTTTTTTTTCCCCAAGTTAGTTTTCTAAATTTTGACATTGTCTTTAGTTGCAGCGAATGCCACCTTCTGAGGAAAGACCATGTGATTTTGTAACACTATAAGCGTTCCAATGGATTTGAATCCCATTCATTCTCCCATCAGAATGATTTATATCTGTGCCCTTACTACTGCCCTCTTAAAAACTTGAGTCTGCCCAGCTTCCTAATGTCTGGTCTTTTGTTGCCAACCACAACTCATTTTAAAGTTTTTTAAATGTTCATTTGGCAGAAGGAAGTGCCTTATTTAAACAGAGATGGCTCATTAATAGGAGAACCATGTAATGTAACCAGACTTTAAATGATCCCCCCGGAATGTGCGAGTCTGGAGTGCCTCCCCTTAATTACTGTAGTAGGAAATGAACACAAATTCTCTGGTTAATCACATGTGAGCCCAAATTAAAGAGCACAGTTTGATGGGCTCACTCTGTAAGTTCCTCCTCTTGCCACCATCAGGGAGACTGGTCCTTGAAGTGTGTTTGCAATCCACTCCTTTTTGCAAATATTGTATTATTTTCCTTTCTCTTTTAAATAGGCAAAACATGTCAGCAATTAATCAGTGTTTTCAAATTAATTATGATTAAACTTTCATAACAGGGATTACAGTTAATTGTTGATTCATCTCCTAACCCTCCTGCTCATGATTTATATCAATTTCACCTGAAGAGACTTAGATCTAAATTTCCAATTAGACAGCTTCTGGCCCAATCACCCAGGAGTTTGATTTGCAGGTGATTTTTGCTGGCACTCACTTAAAGCCAAGGTTTGTGATGATGACCAGAGCTGGGGGAGTTTACAACACATAAAGCATGGGTGTATTTTGCTTTTCTCTTCCATGTAAAGATAAAGCTACTAGTAACATCTTGCAGCACCAACCGCTGACTTGGAATTGGTGCCCACTAATGCCACTGAATAATCTGATCTTTAAATGAAATTTTTTGGCATTTTCGGTTTTGAGGGTTTATGCCTTCCCTCACTCCCACAAAGCACTTTAATTGTGTCTTTAAATATGTTCAGACATTCTGGCTTTCCTTAATGAGCTGGGACTGGAGTCCTCCACAGGTGGTTGGTGTAGCAAGAAAACAGGGACACAAAGTATCAGTCTGGCTGGTTGATTTAAATAATAATTAAAATAACAAGTAAATTAATCAGTTCATGAATTAGTTATTTGGAGTTCTAGGACTAGCTGGTAATGAAGCATATTCTGGTTTTATATCAAGAAAACCTGTCAGTTTAGAAAGTCATCCTTAATGAGAGGGGGAGGATTTCTCCTCTCTTGTTATGTTCTTGCAGACAGAACCTGCAGAGAAGAAACATACTATGTCTGAATTTCTTTTGGGTTATTTTCCCTGTAATGTGCAGACACACTCCAGGCAATTAGAACTTCAAAATATAGATCCGTGTACCTTTTAAGGGTCATGTTGTTTTTCTCCATTTCATACCGGAGCGAAGCACGCATTGACCACAAAAAGTAACCTGGAAGCATTGAGTGTGATTTTTCTCAGTCTATATAACATTAAAATGTTCTGTAAGAAAACTTCAGTGGTTTAGAAGATCTTGAAATCTAGGAAGAATTTAATTCTGTAAATAAATTCTTTTCCCTATTATTTGGGATTCATGTGGGACACTGTAGCAGTGGAGACAGGAAATGTAATGCATCTTGGGCTTTGATATGGACTATAACCATCCTTATGTGCATGTGTGTGAGTCAGAGAGTTTTCCAGTTGAGAAATATACTCTGTAATGATTTCTGAATTAGTTCGTGAATTATTTGCTTGTGTGCTTAGAAATGTCTTAGAAATGCATTGGCTTCCCTGCTCACCGTATCCTGGGTTCCTCATTTGTTGTTTCTGTTGTAACATCTAATGATTGAAACTTTGCAAAACTGCAGCAAGTCTTCACTGGATTTAGGTGCCTACATTTTCTGTAGAATCAGGAGAGCCTCCAAGTGCATTTAGGTTTTCTGAATCACCTTCTTATGATGCTTACCAAAATTAAACAACTAATGTTAGATAAGTGTTCCAGTAATAATAAGCATGACCAGACCCCAAGAGTAAAAGAAAAATAACGTCCTGCTTTTCATTTTAAAGTGCTGCCTCATTGGTTCTGTAATTTGATTCAAATCTAGATATCAGATCTAAAAAAATTCAACCTCTCTTAACAATTTTGAACTATATTTATGTATTTCTCCTAACAGAACGACATCCAATAACGAACGCAATTGATGGCAAGAACACTTGGTGGCAAAGCCCTAGTATCCAGAATGGAATTGAGTATCATTATGTGACTGTCACGTTGGACCTCCAACAGGTAAACTTCTCTGGTTGTTTGGTTCTGCAGAGGCTTTGTTTCCTGCACAATAGATGACCTGGAGCGTTTCCTTCTCTGCTTTTTGTTGCTTTTATATTATTAAGACACGCTCAGCTTCTCCTCTAACTTTTTCTTTTTTGTATGGATAATTCTGTTTGACCCAGTCATTATAACAAAGTGTATGAAATTAAAAATAATTATTTCATATATATTTCCATGAAGTTGTGTTTGAAATTTTTGAATTATTTTAGATATAACATTTTCATGTGTGTTCTTTTTTTTTTACAATAGCTTCTGATTTGGCTCTTTGAAGACAATTTAAAGGTAGTTTCATGGAATATTCTTATGAATAACACTTTATGGTTAGAATAGTTCTTTTTTTTTTCAGTAGCATAGTAGTATACATTCAAATACACTAAAAATACTTAAAATACTTAAATACACTAAAAGTAGTTCTTCTGTGCTAGGTATACAAGCACATGTAGTGAGTTATTTTGAGGGAGAGCCTGGGTTAAGGAAGGAGTTTGGCTAACGAGGTCTTTTAGTAAATTGTCTCCTGTTAATGGAATCTTGCTTGACAGAGGTAGCTATAAGGAATGCAGTCGTTTGAGGCTTACATCCACTGGAATTTACATAGCATTTTTTGTAAGCAAGAGAATTTGAGGGTATAAGGTAAGTAATTTTTTAGGTTTTTTGTTATGCCAAGATAAAGTACCAAAATTATTCATAATGTTATTAAACTTGACCATTTTTGCATTCAATTAAGTAGATAACAAATGAATTTTAATTCCTCTCCCCACCACTCCCTTAAAATCTTCTCTGCTTTGTGGCTGGCCCATATTTGTCTGCAGCTTGAATCAGACCAGAAAACATAATCTGTTTTCCTGGTATGAAGAAAAAAGGAAGGCCCTTTCTCTGGCTCACTGGAGAGAGATTCCCCTTCCCAGCTCCTGCTCCGTGTGATCTCTTCTCTGAGACCAGTTTTCCTTTTCAGTTTATTGTTATTGATTTATTGGTTTTACTTGGAACCTGCCTGTCCTTATCTCCCTTCTTTCTCATTTAGCTGTACTTAAAGAGGACAATAGCTGATTATCACCTAAAGAGGCTTCAATGAAGCATGGTTTGTTAGAAAATACAATGAAACCAAAGGCAGGGCATCGAGACATGTGTACATACATACAGGCAATTTTGTTGTAAAAGATCAAAAAGTCCAGAACTCCGAACTTCAGTGAGCTTTAACAAAGAGTAGTGCTTGGATTTCCAGGTTTTGTCCTTTATTTCTTGTAAACAAGCTGTCATCCAAATGATCTGGTGGTAGAAATTCTTGTAGGCACATTGTATCCCTGACACTGAAGTACATGGAGGGCAGTAGCCTTTATACCTGGAAGAGCCTTTGAATGCTGGAAGAATTATTGGGGTTCTGGCTTTGGAACCCTCATTGCTACTGCCAGAAACGATCCTACATCTGTGTCTTTGGCCTTATATACACAAGCATTTTCAATGTGCATTTTCTTTCAATCAGTCGGTCTCTTGTCCCAAGGAACAGCTGATGGGACAAGAGGAAATGGCCTCATGTTGCACCAGGGGAGGTTCAGATTGTATATTTAGAAAATTTTTTACACAGAAAGGGTTATTAAGGCTTGGAATGGTCTGCCCAGGGCAGTGGTTGAGGCACCATCCCTGGAAGTATTTAAAAGATGGGTTGACATGGTGTTTAGTGACATGGGTTGGTGATGGTTTTTATCAGAGTTAGGTTGATGGTTGAACTAGAAGATCTTAAAGGTCCCTTCCAGCCTAGACAATTCTATGATTCTATAAACCTTTTAATGGAAGTTTAAGCTCCTGTGCATTGGAAAGTTTTGAAGTTTTTTAACTGTCTTTTAAAATTTTGGAGTTATTCACTGGTTTGCCTTTACAGCAAGGGATTGTGCCTCTTGCTGGCTCTGTGAGTAGCTCAAGCATTAGAACTAAATTACCATCCTTGCTTTTCATCTCTAGTGATTTTACTCGTGCCGTTGTTTAAGCCAGGGCTGCGGAACTAGGGCTTTAAACTTCTGGTTTTTCTGCTGTGTCAGTATCTAGAATGTCATAAGAAATAAGCAAGTTTGTGCACTCCCAAAAGTTTTGATTTTTCTAACATACTAAAAGCTGGCAGCTACAGGGTCAGTGACTGTAATGAAGAAAAAGTATGGGTGGTTCTAATGTATTTAAAAGGCTTCTTTGTGTGCCAGTTAACAGCAGCCTGAGAACACTGCACTGTGTGTTGTGTGGGTCTGGGGTTTTTTTCTGTTTCTTTTTTTCTTTTTTTTTCTTTATAATGAGACAAGGCTCAAGTATGAGCATATTTCTTTCCCATGTTCTCTTGCTTATTGTTCAGAGGAAGCTTGGTGGTCCTTTTGCAGGACCAAAGTTGATACCTTCCCTTAAGCCCATTCAGTTGGATCGGCTGGAGCAGGAGCAGTGTTCAGGTTTCCATGGATATGTTGGAGGTTTCCATGGATGTCAAGAGAGGTGGGACAAGACCTTGTGCCACTAACACGGTCTGGCACACTCTTTAGCACCTGAGGAACCCACAGAGTGAGGGACGTGTGCTGTGTTTACTTGTCACCTTATAGGAACAAAACAACGATTTTGTTCCCCAAAATGTGGTAAAAGGTCTGTTGGATTTTGCGTGGCTTTTAGACTGCTCAGTAAGAAAGGAGTTGTTTGGATTTTGAGGAGTATTAGGAGGTTTTGTTTCTCATTTGGGTATTTTGTAGACACAGTATTGTAGGTTCATTATAGTAGTTGGTAAAATAGGAAATTTCTCTTCCAGCTAGTGTCGTGCGTAGCACTCACTATGAATGATGAAGGTCACCAGATTTCTTTGAGACCTCCCTTAAAAGAACTAGCATTCTCTACCTTTGGTTTATAGGAGATTCAGTAATTGCTATGTTTGTGTTGATAAATTCTCGCTTGAAGTATAAAAATGCTTAACTCCTTTTTGTGAGATAGAAATAACAAATGTCAAATCTACAAGTAATGGACTGAAAATTGCAGGAATGCATTAGTTTGTATGTTATTACTGGTAATTATGACAGTACATGGAATGCTTTTAGCAATCCTAATTTCATGAAAAAATAAGGAAAATAATTACAATTTCTTCATTTATATAATGCTTAGCCTTTGGGGGCAGCTGCGTATTTTTTTTTTTTTACATTATTATGCAGTCTAGCCATATACAAATGGTGTATACTAGTTAGCAATAACTAATAAAATGAAGAAGTAATATATTTTTAACTTTAGAAGGAGGCAAAACATTATCACTCAGGTTGGGAAAAATGCAGTATCTATTTTTCTTTTCTCCTAGCAGTTGAGATTTACTGTAATACTTACAAAGAGCTTTTCCCTATAGTGAAGGTTAGGTTTCTAATTCATTAAAGTATGTTTGAAATTTGTACCCCATCTATTAAAAAAGTATGAGTTGAAAACTGGAGCTATTTGGTTCCGAGCATCTTTGCTAATTTGCTCTTAACCCTTCACTTTTCTAGACTTTTTATTGACAATCACTGTCTTATCTATTTCACAGGAGTATTATGGAACACCATTTGTAGCTGTACACGTGAAATTGTTTGTTACAGTGCTTTTCATCCAGCCAGTGCATAGGAGGTCAAAATAGGAATGTAGATTTATGTGGGGGTTGCTCACAGGAATTTAAATGGAGGTTGAAAAAAGAGGTTGAGTTATCCTGGCTATGGAAAGTGAAATTCCAGTTTCGAGTTTCTAGGGGTAGGTTCAGGAGTGTGCCAGGTTGTTTCACCTATGAAACACTCACAAATTACCAAGAGAAAGTGTCTGCTCGTCCCCATCTCTTACTCCTGCTGGTTGTGTGGGGTCTGTGGTTTTTTTGTGAGGGGTGGTGGGCAGCTCACGTGTAGCAGAAGGCATTCAGGTCTCGTGAGGGCAATGTCTGGCAGGACAGAAACTAAGGCTTCTCTTCAAGAAGTACAGAGAAGGGAGTTGGCAAAACAGAAATGCTTAGACATCCAGTGAGAACGTATTCCCTGTATTCATGCTATCCCAAATCCTCAGCTGTTTTAATTTCACAGTGATGTGGAAGATTAGTAGAGTATCTTTAAAGAAAATTGGCAAATTGACAGGCAAACCAGTTGGCAGTTTGAGGTGAGGTGGTCAGCCCATCTGTCTCTGATTTCTGTACACATCAGGACACTTTTATTAACAAATTCCCTGCTGTTGTGGGGAACAAGGACATTGGCAGTACCCTTGCTATTGCTCAGATACTTGTGCCAGGAGCATATTTATGTGGGGTTTGGTTTTTTTCTTTACTGTACACGTGGTATTTTTTTAAATGGTGCTGGTGTATTTTATGTGACTTGTAGATGTGTGGAACATGGGTGGACTCAGACTTAATATTCTGGCAGAAAATTCTGGACTTTATAAGTATATCTTAATTGCCTGAGGTTGTGGAGGATCAGTTCAGTGTCCAGGTAATCCTCTCCAGATGTATATTTCTGAAGAAAAGAGAGTAGTTGACACTCCTCAGAGCCTCATAAGGTGCAAGAGCAATAACTCATCAAGCTGCGGATTTGATTTCTCTATAAAGCAATTGCAGTTCATCAGTTTTAAGTTCCTTAAGCTCTGACAGTGCCCAACACTTTCACCTTGTGTTTTCATCCCGTCCCCTGCCCTCTTTCTGTAGGAGGGGAGGAAAGATTCTGAAAGAATTGTGTTCTGACTCCACGTATAAATCACTCAAGTCCCACTTCTCCTGAAATGTGCTTTTTAGAATGTTAAGTTTTTAGACTCATGGACTTTGCTATTTGAGTGGCACAGATTATACTTTGGGAAGTGGCATTTCTGAAACTCTGTAGAGAAGTGAATAGCTGTAAGTAGCAGAAGAATGTGTGACTTGCTCAGAAGCATTTTGAAAAGACTTTATGAAAAGCAGACAGCAATATTCTACTAATGCTAAATTCATTATTTTGTAACTCTGTATTGTC